TTTCTGTTTCTCCATCCACCACCACCGCCGTGAAGGGAGGAGGTCGCAATCGGCGTAGAGCCGGTTATTGATATGATAATTACTGAAGAAATGGCGATGGAATTGATGTGCGAAGAGGAGGACTACATCAGAGGTTGTGGGTCTATCGGTCTCTATATACAACATCCTCGATTGTTTCCTCAAGATATTGGAATAGTCAACAAAGATTGCCAAGTCTTAGCAGTTGTTCTAGAGAAAGAGAGAAGATGAGGCAAGTAGGCAACTTGCTCCTTCCATGCGCCGGAGATCGGAATTGAAGCTTCCCTCAGTCTTTTCGTTCTTTAGGGGTCGGTAAGAGGGGGTAATTAAGATGGGGTAATAAAATTAAGTAATAATCCACATATTTAACATCTCATTTGACAGCAATTTACAAAACAAAACTCAAAAGGACTTCTTTGAGCAGTACTCCAAATTATAGAGGACTATATTGTTCATTACTCATTAAAAGGGACTAAATTGGGAAAAACTCTTATTACAAAGGACTATTTTGAGAATTTACTCTTAAATAAGTGGTCATAACCAAAGTGAAAGCCATTTGTTTAAGTAGAATTAAATTTAGTCTATTATTTTGGTGTTATAATAGACTCTTATCACAGCTTCATTACTATATAATGGTCCTTATCTTCGCCAGCCTTAGTTCATTACCCCTTAAGTTCTTCTTTAATTATGTGTCTTAATTCTCTCATCTGAATCCACTATCAGCCCCGAATATGGGAATTGAAACCTTGAACGGTGCGAATTTTTCTTCATGGAAAGATTCACTGATGTTAACTCTTGGCATGTTGGATTTTGATTATGTACAGAGAGCCTGCCCCTCCTGCCCTTACTGATAAATGTACTGCTCAAGATAAAATAGTACATGAGAGATGGGAGAGGTGCAACAGAATGGCTCTTATGCTCATTAAAAATTCCATCAGCATAATCATCAGGGGAGCTATTCCAGATTAATCTAATGCTAAAACATATCTGGCTTCCGTGGAGGAACAATTCAAAGCAACTTCTAAGGCACATGCTAGTACTCTTATTTTGAAGATGGTGACTACTAAATACGACGGGATAGCGGCATTCGTGAGCACATCATGATGATGAACGACATGGCTCGTAAGCTTAAGGGATTAGACATGGAGATCAGTGAAGGTTTTCTGGTGCACTTCATCATGACTTCTCTTCCTGCATCTTTTGAAGCTTTCAAGGTCAACTACAACACCCAGAAGGTCAAGTGGTCGATGAATGAGTTGATTGCTATGTGTGTACAAGAAGAAGAGCGTCTGAAGCTGGATAAACCGGATGTGGCTTACCTCATGACTGCTAATCCAAAGAAGAGGAAGGGCAATGTCGATAAGAAGGAAGTTTCTAAAGTCCAGAAACGTGATGCAAGTGCTTCTTCCAGCTCTAAGAACTCTAAAGGGAAGTCTTACTGCAAGTTCTGCCGCAAGGAAGGACATAGACAGAAAGACTGCCAAGACTTTAAGGAGTGGCTGACGAAGAAAGGTAATCATCTTTACATGATACTTGAGTCCTTTAATTTAAATGTTCCAACTAATACATGGTGGTTTGACTCTGGTTCTATGGTTCATGTAACCAACTCACTTCAGGGATTCCTTACAATCCAGAAGCTGGAAAGAAACCGAAGAACACTTAAGCTGGGGAATGGAACAGAACTAGCTGTCGAAGCCGTGGGAACCTTAGAATTAATAATGAAAACTGGTTTATGTATTAAACTTTATGATACCTTATATATTCCTGAGATTACTCGGAATTTAGTATCAGGACCAAAGTTAGACATAGACGGTTTTGATGTTTCTCATGGTCATGGCAGACTTACTATTAGTTTCAATTCTCAAGTGTTTGGTCATGGTTTTCTGGATGGTGGTCTCTATAAATTAGAACTAGATGATGATTTTTCCAAATCTTTGTTGTCATATAATATCAAT